TGACAGGTGTTTCGCTCGATAGATTCGGGATCGGTGAAAGGGTTTCCGAAAACCGCACATGCAGCGGAGAAGCAAGTAATTAATGTTCAAACATGTTATATGTTATTTTACTAATATTCTATATATCTATGATTTTGCTAAAATGTTTTTGAGGCGTTTGCTTTTTGCAGAACCTAATGTGTGCGAAGAATTTGGTCATAGATAGGAGCATTCAGATGGCATACATTGAAGCAATTCGATCCGCGCAGCACTTCATATACATCGAGAATCAGTATTTCCTCGGCTCGTCTTATGCTTGGCCCTCCTACAAAAATGCGGGTAGGTGGTTTATATATCACAGGTTGATCACATTGTATCCCTTGATGTACCAATGTTTATGCTTTTCTATTTGTTCAATATGCATTATGATTAAAATCTTTTCTTAGTACTTGAAACTTGTGTTTGTATAAGGATTCACGTCTCATAACATTACTAATAAGCTGTTGTGGTTAGCCTGAAAATTGATTATATTTTATATTTTTCTCATAGTTATTTACTTACATTGCTCTTAATTTTTTTCGATAGGTGCCGATAATTTGATCCCAATGGAACTAGCACTAAAAATAGCTAGTAAAATAAGAGCGAATGAGAGATTCACCGTTTATGTTGTTATCCCAATGTGGCCAGAGGGTGCTCCTAATTCTGCCTCTGTACAAGAAATCCTTTATTGGCAGGTAAGATTGCAAATAAGAGAAAATTACTTCTGATGTTTGTTTAGGAAATAAATTTGTTATGCCCCTATATGTTGCGCTCTATATATGTCTTGTACATTACAATGTAATCAACAACTTGGCATGATTTTGTCATGCTTTGTCACATATACGATATCGTCTTTACTCTTTACTCTTGGACGATTTTTCTTTTGTAGGGGCAAACCATGCAAATGATGTATGAAATTATTGCTCGAGAAATTAAGTCTGCTCGGCTTACGAATGCGCATCCTACTGACTATCTAAACTTTTACTGCCTTGGCAACCGAGAAGAAAATGCAGGGGAGTCGAAGGGAAATGCCCAATCCCCTTCAAATGGAAATACAGTAATTATTTTCTCACTTCCATATCTTTTCCTACAGTATGAGATTCTTATATATTGCATATCAAATTTTCTTGCATCTTCTTATAATTAACACTGCAGGATTCAGCTTCACAAAAAGCCGGACGGTTTATGATTTACGTGCACGCAAAGGGAATGATTGTGGACGATGAGTACGTGATATTAGGTTCTGCCAATATAAACCAACGGTCAATGGCTGGGTCGAGAGACACAGAGATTGCAATGGGTGGTTATCAGCCCCATCACACTTGGGCCAAGAAGAAAGACCACCCACATGGCCAGGTTATCTTTTTATTTTTTATTTTTCAATTAAAAATAAATAAATAAATAAATTTACGGGCTATTTGAATTGTTTTGATGTCCATGCGCAGGTATATGGATACAGGATGTCGCTTTGGGCCGAGCACTTGGGGACAGTCGAGAACTGCTTCAAAGACCCAAAGAGGTTAGATTGTGTAAAGTATGTGAATCGTCTTGCGCAGCAAAACTGGAACCGGTACACGGCCCCAAGATTCATCCCATTGCAAGGCCACATACTTAAATATCCAGTTGAGATTGATGGTGATGGGAAGGTGGGGCCCTTACCAAGATACGAGAACTTTCCGGATGTTGGTGGTAAGGTCTTAGGGGCCCCTACCAATTTGCCCGATGCTCTAACGACATAAAAATACAAAAGAAGGTTCGTTTATTTTTCTGCAGTGTGGCATATATGCGCGAAGAATGAAGGTTTCGTTGTAATTTGTAAATATTACATATACGGATAAAAATGTGTAAGTTGTGTAAAATATTTTTGAAATGGTTGTAAAGTTATTGCTATGTAACTTTTGGGTTCGTTTTGGTCCACACGGTACGTTTTACGTTTGTATACGCGGTTTGGTTGTATAACATTTCTCTAACGAGAAGAGCAAAAGTCACACAGATGAAGAAGAATGAAGAAATAAAACTATTTACTCCAATCGCTGTATCATTATCTTTTGCAGTTTTTTTTGTTCATTTAAATAAAAAGTTCTGTAGTCGGTAAGAGCATGAGGCCAGATAGCGATGTGATCGTGATTAGTACTAGCATGTGAGGTAAAATACGAATGTGGCCATGCTCGTAAAGAGGGTTTGTTGAAGTTTTGAGAGTTGAGGAAAGGGGAATTCTGGTTTAATATCTGGGAGTTTATATTTTCTGTGGTTTTAGATGTCCTATAGAAAGAAAGAAAGAAAGAAAGAAAGAAAAAGGTCAAAATCATATAAATTCCTCACTCAAGTTTTTTCTACAAAATTAGTAGCAGGTGTAGTTATTATCAGGAAAATGAGAATAGTTTCGTCATGTTCGAAAACAGGTACAAGGAATTAGAATTATATATAATGCCTCTGAAGAATACATATGAAACAAGACCCATTTCTTACAAAATGCAGCAATAGAGGTCGATCATGCTGTAACATATGTTGTTTTCATTACTAATGCTTCGGCTGTAAGAATATGTTGTTTCATCTTGATTATTTTGCTAATATACATAAGTTCTTTAGCATATTATCATAAATAGTTTTGTTACAACACACACTTCATGAGTAATACTGATACTAATTATTCAACAATACCTCTCAGTCATATTTATTTACAAGCATAATACAGAAATCACCCCAACAATACCAACGGAATATACATGAAATATGTGCGTCAACCTCACTAAATCCACTTACAACATTTGTTGCCTTCTACAAGTGCGGAAAAATATCGCCATTGTTGTTCTCGTCCAAATCCAAGTACTTGAAATTCATGTTATCATTTGGGTTTGGGTTGAAACTTGAATTCACATAGCACTTCATCTCGTGGAACAGATTCAGATTGTCCACCAGCTTATGAAATATATTGCAGCCGCAACACTAACACACACCAAAAAAAAATAAAAGTAAATAAATGTGCAGATATGTTCACTTCAAAAAAATCTTGATCACTTCAATCCCGAAAACAATACAATCCCAAGTAACTACCAAATTGAAATAAACTGTCGCCAGAATAATTTTTCCTAACCAAGTTCTGATATATGAGAGGTGGGAATTCAAATTTCTCCCAACAAATTGAACTCAGGTTTAAAGACTCAAAAGTCTGAATTTTAGCCATACCTGAACAAATACAGTGCCATCTGTATATGCATGTGGATTGATGGCGCGAGTCGTGCGCTGGCCACAAACTTTGCAGGTGAAGGCCACGCGCATCCGACGGCGTGGGGATTTGGTGAAAAGCGACCAAGGGAAGGTGGACACCTGCGGCGTACCCGATTCAGAATCTTGACCCACTGGAACAGACGGGCCTTCCATACCCGACCCAGTTGTCCATCCTCTCACGCTCGCCGCACTAAGAACCAAACCCATCGCAGCATCCTGCAAATTTCCTAAGGGCCAGGTCAATTGCATCTTTAGAAGCTATCAATCAATAGACAAATTCGAATTTCAACCAATAAATGTATGGAAAGGATGAAGTAGATGAAAAGGTGAATAAAAATTGCGCCTTGGAGAGTGTGTGATTTCCGTGGGCGGAGTCAACCGGATCGAACTTGAGATTGTTTTCGCAGTTATTGCTGCCATCATCGCTACCTGCAGATTATGAACAGAAAAATGGGTTAAATTGGAATAGAATATAAATAGGAGTTTAAATCAGACGAAAAAAGAAAGGGGGAAGGCTGACTTTTGGGGGAAGTCGAGAATCGGACGATCCGACTGAAAGGAGCGTCCTTGGACTTGTTCGGCGAGAAAAACGGCAGAGATAATGCGCCGGCGGCGGTGGCTAGCGTTTCCATTTCCGGTTATTATGTATGAATATGCTTTCTTCAGAGATTTTCCTCCGTGATTTTTTCCGACTTCTTTACTGACCACTGACCTGGGAATTTGATGAGTTGTTACTTGTTTTCACATTTTTTTTGTTTGGTGTTGATTTTTTTTTTTATTTTATTTTTTTCTTTCCTCTTTTCCTCAAATGCATAAAAAATAGATTAAAGTTGAAAAACCCAGCTTTCATGTGCATAAAAGACTAGTGGGCTTCGCTAGTTTGTAAGGCCCAGAAAAGCCCAGTTCTGCTTTATATTAGACTTCCAGCTCATCCGGCTTTTGACAATAGAGCTGAGAGTATACGATTCTTATTAGAGAATATATAAATTTTATTTTATTTTTATATTTATAAAATTCTTATTATAATTATAGATAAACTGATTTTTATAGTTTATAAATAGTTTATTTTTATTTTATTTAATTTATTTATTTATTTTAAATTGCATTATTTTTAGTACTAGTTTATATAATTTAGTTTGAATATTTTAGCAAAATTTTTAAAAAGTGCAGTAAACATTCTTAATATATACTATTAAACTTCAATTTGATATATAAATTTTAGTCTAAATATTGCACTTGTAATAGAATATTTGATCAATATCTTGATTAAGAAAAAAACAATTCCATTATACATTTGTATAAGTAATGTGAGATTGGAACATTTTAGTTTTATTAGTAAAGTGTTTCAAATCACTAAGTAATAAAATAAAAATCTCTTGATGATTTATTTTGATTATCTATGAGACTTTATCGATTCATGAATTCTTAATTTCACTCTCATGCTCACAGTTGATACAGGTTAATATAATCAATATCACAGTGGACACGTGAACATTTCCGCCTGAATGTGTTATTACTAAATTAAAATCATTAGGTAGTAGACAAGAAAACTATGATGCTCGGGCCCTTTAATTAATTGGCTCAATGTCTTGATTTATAATAAATTTCTACCAATGGCCCCCCCCATTGAGTTGAATGAATTAAAAAAATTGTTATTTAGTTTGCAATAATTAAGCGTTAATTAATTATATTGCATGGTTTGGCTACAGCAAAGAAGTAGGTTGATAGATCACCAGAGAGTTGCATGTAATAGAAATTAATATACTGTCCGAAATTCAGATGGTGATGAGAAAGAGAGCGTTCGCTGACTGTAAAAGTTATGGGCGAGAATTCCTTTATATTCAATGCAATCTGGACTTGTGAGAGAAATATATATGTAGCTAGAGAATATTATTTATGTGTTATGGGTCATTTGCTGCCATTAATGACCCTGGCCCGTNCCAACAAGCAATCTTTCTTCTTCTTCTTCTTTAAAGTCCAACATTTCCTGATATTTTCACTCTCAACATAGCTATTTTCTTATCTTTATTATTATACAATTACCTTCAGAGTCAATTTATTTATGTTCTTCACAAAAAAAAAGTTGAGCAAACGAGAGAGGTGTTACAAAGGCAGGGCATATATATTTCAATTTTCGTTTATATTTTACTAGTTTAATTCAATATCTCTTTCTCTCTTATTGTTTTTTTTATTTATTTTGGGAGTATGTGTTGCCTTTTAGAGTGTTGAGATAATCACTATGATGTTGGCTCGGCTCACTCAGAAATAACCAACTTTACAAGCTTTTATATATATGTTGTCGAGAGGCAATAAAGGGAGCATTTTCGAAATTCTGAAATAGGAAATTGATTCTCATTTTTATTTTTTTCAATAAAAATATTTTTTCTTTGTAGTTGCTAAGAATCAATTGCTTCAGAATTTGGAAAAACACTCCCTATATATGGGCTTAAGCATGTTTGGTGATTTTGATTGAGCCGTGCCAATATCTTAGTGTTTTTTTCACTTTCGTATGAGAATATCTTTTGCACATGGATCCTCACAGTTTGGAGAATTTTTAGTTGAGGCATAACTAATTAAAGAATTGGAATTATTTATAGTTATGAGAAGAAGAATGTACAAGGAATTAATCGATTTTTTTTTTTTATTCTTTGATGTCTTAATTGCTATAGTCTTGAATTTTGTGCTTGTTTAATTTGTATCGATTCTCTTGACTTGATGTCTTAACTGCTAAAATTTTGAATTAATTTTTATGTTTGTTTAATTTGTATGTTGGGTTGATTAATCCGTATTAATTCATTTTAGTTGTGTTTGTGATCTCGGATATGTGTGTGTATGTATCTACATAAAATGGAGTGACTGCTATAAACAGAATTGACATTTTTTCTTAAAGAAAAAAATATACTAAATATATAAATTTTACAATTATTAGTTTAAAATTTTTATTTATACACTTGATTTGACATGTCTATTAAATGTTTTCATGTATTTGATATTTCAGATCATAAAATTGATTGACATGTTGAAATATAATATCAATTTTTTTTATCGTATCATTTAATAACTATGAGGAATGATGCATCGTAACAAAAGCTTGGAAATTCATAGTAATTTGAAAAATATAATTTTTAGTTTATTATCTAATTTATCATTCCACACAAAATTATATAATGCTATATTCATTTTTCTCTCCAATAATATTTCTGTATTTTTATTTAAGACACGCTTACTTATTTTTACTCTATGTTATTTAATAGTTTCTTATATTTACATTTACCTATATATTTAAGTAATACGTATCAATTAATTGAGTGTTTTTTTTTTCAAACGACGATTATATTAATGACTGAAAAAGAAGTATAAATCGATGTGTCAACGTACACCACTGGAACTAGAACAAAATTTGGATCATCCCTCCCTTGGATGTACATAAGCGACCAAGAGGGTATAAACTACATCACAAACAAATACAAAATAGAACTCCATACAAGAGACTAAACACTAGAAGTCACTAGAAGTCGCTGGACTAACAAGACAAAAAACAAAGAAAGATTAATAAATAACGCACACCTAAAAAAACAAGTAAAATAAAACATCTCCTAAACCTAACAGACTAACTGTTGATAAACGAAATTGTATCCACAAAAAATACACCCCTATTTCTGTGAATAATCGGTGTTGAAGCGAAGTGCCTTTTTTATTGATTTTGAGGAGATGAATATCTCTCATTTTCATTATTTTTATTGTTGTGGAAGATGATGAATAGTGTCCCCCATTATTTCTCTCTCATGGCTCTATATATATACATGTCTTTTTCTAACAAGTGGGCCAATTAAAATATAGATAAATGGGACAATAGTATTTAATGCGAGATAACATCGTGGGGCCCGATCGTGACACTTGACGGCTTCGATTGCCGTCTACTTTATCGGCAATTATTGTGTCTGCCGGATACGGATCTTCTCCATATTCAGGTCCGGCCGATGATATTAATTATGCTCGGCTCGAACGTGGACGATCTGGGCACTTGGGAACTCGGTCGATATTAAAATAATCAGCTCAGAAAACCTGCTATATTTATATTTATTTAATACATATCCTTGTGTAGCATTCTTATTAATCGAGGCCAAATTGGGTATCAACACTAACCAAACGACCACAAAAACTGACAATCGAGTCACACACCGCAACATAAAAATCTAACTGCAAACCTAGACCCTAAACTCCAAAATGGTGGCTAAAAACGAATCGCCTACATAATTGGCAAAAAGATAATTATTGGATTAGAATTGGGCTCTGAAAAT